ACGTTGTGTAAACAGAGAGCACCTGATTGCAAACTTCCCGATCCCGATCAAACTCCGCTACAAGTTTATAAACTGCATCTGGAACCCAATTAAGGTACAAAAATCTATTTAACAAAAATAGTGATGCAGTAAAGTATTTTTTTCGCTCAGCCGAGCCTTCTCTGTCTGTATCTGTGGAGAAGATTGTGCCAGACACCTCCGCCCCGCCCTCCGACTGAGCGTCTCTCTCTCTCTCTCTCTCTCTCTCCCTCTCTCTCTCTCTCTCTCTCTCTCTCTCTCTCTCACATTTCACATTTCAGGTGCTTTATTGGCATGACAAATAACTGTACATTCGTATTGCCAAAGCAGTGCAGCGTCGCTGCGTACAGACAAGACAGTGCAAAAAGGGCAGTAGTGCAAACAAATATGAACATAAAATATAATATAGAAATAAAGAAAAGAAATGTAAAAAAATAAAAATAGATTAATAAAAACAACAATATATCAGTAAAACTAAAAAATATTAATAAAAATAAAAATAGATTAATGGTAATTTGTGAAACAGGATGAAAGTGGTGACAATAATATCAACAGTAAGTCCACGAGTAAAGAGTTCCTGTGTTGTGTGTTGGAGACAGTGGAGCGGATCATTGTGGGTTCCTCAGACGGTGGCAGGAGTGCACAAACTGAGCTGCTAACACACAGCAGCACACACACTCCCCCAGGAGGATGGGCAGTTTCTCATTGTTCGGCAGGGACTCAAAGTTTTTGTGTGTGTGTGTGAGTTTCGGGTAGAACTTCTCCCGGATCTCTAAGTATTTTGTGCACTCCGTAAGGAAGTGCAGTTCTGTTTCAATCAGAACAGTTCTGTTTCAATCTGTCTCTCTCTCTCTCTCTCTCTCTCACTCACTCACTCACTCACGCGGGCATGCACTGTGGTCTCATGAGGAAACGCTGCTTTTTGATATAGTGATTTTCTTGCTCCCGAATACAAATAATTTTTCAAGTATTTGTTCGAAATAAGTATTCGTAAAAACACGCTATTCGTGCCTTTCCGAATACCGTATTCGGCTCCACCCTTAATATATATATATATATATATATATATATATATATATATATATATATATATATATATATATATATATATATATTCATCACAATGGAAATATTTTTGTTTTTAGAATATTTATTAGTGACGCATGCAATAATTACAGAATAATAAAAAAGATGCAAAGAATGGCAATCACTGATTTTTTAAATCACCTTCAACAATTGCAAAAAGAGACTGAAAGAGCAGAAGCACAGCTTCACCTGGTAGAGGAACAACTGACTCTGACCAAACTGTAGCAAACCAAGGCCAGACTTGAGATTCGCCTCCTAAAGGCTTTGCTCAGCAAGCTGGTCTCTCCACATCAGATGAGGAAGTCTGAACTTATTGTGGAGTTTTTGACATTAAGTCTTTTTTTATTTACATCTATATTTTAAACTTATTATAAATATCCTCAATGTACAGTGTTTGTGTTGTAGGTCTCAGATGAGCAGACTGCTGGAAGAGAATGGGGTGGGGGTTTTATTGTTTTTAGTTTTTTTATTTTATTTTTTTAAATGTGTGTGTGTTTTCATTTCAAATTGACCCCACACTGGCTATTCTATTTGTTGCTCTTTACATAGGCCTATCTATCAATCTACATTGTGATCGAGCACTGGTAATCCAGATTTAGTGATCCTGAAAAGTTCCTATCCGGATCAGATTGATCCAATCCAATGTTGCTTTGAAAAACTGGCTCAAAAAGTAAGCTGGATTACGTGATCACGGATCGCAAAAACAGGATTACTAAATCCGAAACAATTTTATCCAGATTAAACCTTTTGAAAAACCGGGCCCAGGTTTCGGTACCCAACCCTACTCGTCCATGCCTCGCACTTAACAAAATGGCTGCTGCCAGTTGACCAGCTCATAAGAAGACCACTAGCAGTCTGCTACTAGCTCATAAGATAGCGTCCTGTTTCAATTGTCTTCTTTTTTATGATCCCTCTGCACCATAACATGTATCTGCATGAGGCCTGAATGGTACACTTTTAAATTTGCCATTTTGAAAACAGTTGAGTAACTGAAATACAAAGAAAGCAATGCAGTTTTCCCAAACTGAGGTCAATACTGTACTTGTAATATGTTCCTGCCTTCAAATGCAAATCACATGAGAAACACACAACAAAGCCCACAAATATAATGCCATTGGTGAGGTGTGTCATCAAAAAGAAGTTTTTTTTTTTTTCATTGCCAGGAATAACTTGGATATGAGACCCAAATGACCTCAGAAAAGACCATCTTGATCAGATGTGTCTTTTTACAGAGGATGACACCTGTTAAATTTATTTATTTATTATTTACCATAGTTGAACCAGTTAAAGATTTGAAATAAATATAGTTTGAAAGATGTCTCTTTTGCACACCATAAGCTGCTGTCATGGTCACCAAGTTAAGTGCCCACCAGACACACCAGAGGGCACTCTACTCATCACAGCTGCCACTGAAATGAACTACATATCCCATAATGTCCTACAATCACACAGTTTCACAGCTTGATTACCAACACACAGCTGAAGCTCTTCATGACTGATAGCATGGACTCACGACTCACATACATGTACACACACATTTTTGAGTCTTGTTACTGTAGTGTGTATTTCTAAAAATTCTCTGTATTGCATGGCCATGTTTTTGACACCTTTTATGTTTTTACTCAATATGTTTGTTTTGCCACCTGCCTCGACCCTCTGCCTGTTACAATTACTCTCTGGATTTTTTATTTGCGTTTTCCATACTGTCCCAACTTTTTCTGATTTAGGGTTGTTGTAACTAATAGACTATAAAAGTAAGAGTTATTATATAGAACCATTGTTAACCTGCAGTTATATAGTATGTATGTCTATGTGCTTGAGGGAAGAAATTGTTCTGGTGCTCAGTGCACACTAGTGCTCAGTGTTTTTTTACCAGATGCTCTATTTTACATTTGCACATTTAAAATTGCACATATTCATTGCACTGATTCATTTATTTGAACTGTACATGTGTGATGTGGACTGTACATTATTACCCACTGCACATGGACAATTGTAATTATGTACACACCCACTGTACATATACATCTGTAATTATGTTTATCTATCTGCACACTTCTGATTATTAATAGTAACCTGTCCATATATTAATTTATTGTAAATCTCTTTTTATAGCTAATACAACCTGTATATAATGTTCATTGTACATCCATCTGTAAATATCACTATAGTTTTCATGTAACTGCACTTTATAACTTATACCTGTCTCCTGCACTTGCTGCAACTGCACTGTTGATTAGACCTAAACTGCATTGTGTTGCCTTGTACTTGTGTAATGACAATAAAGTTGAGTCTAATCTAATCTAATCTAATCTAATCTAATCTAATCTAATCTAATCTAATCTAATCTAATTTAAGAGAACTGATTCCTTATTGGATGACTGCAATCTGATCTCGTTCCAATGTTTATTTTGCCGGCTTGTACAAGACATTTTCTTTATTTGTGTAAACATCTTGTTTGGCTTAACTGAGCCATCTGAGTTTTACAGTGAACTATGATTTGTCATTGTTATAGTTTATTCGAGTCCAGGCAAAACTGCATATGTATGGAAAACTGGTATAAGATGTTATGGTCTCTGTTAACTCATCTAGATTGTTTAGTGCAGCTTCAAAAACAGTCCAATCAGTGATGTCAAAACAGGCTTGTAAACCCTACTCTTTTTCATTAGTCACAAAAGTTGAATCAAGTAAGTCAGGATAAAGGAAAAAAGCCTTACTTGTCCTAGTTTAATCAGGTCCTTCTGGCTTATTCTGTTGCACATTTGCTTATACAGGGTGAGAATGAGCTGCTATGTCAGACCAGGATAAGATAGCCAGGATAAGTGCAGCATTCTTTAACAGACCATGAGATCGATCACAGATTCAATGATGCAAATATGGATAAAACTCGATATGAGCCAAACAGGCAATAAGTTAAAAAAAAAAAATCTCCTGCCCACCAATCTGGTAACGTCGACTGATCTTGGAAAATGTAAGAGGTTAAGATGACACTCAAAAAATTAGTATGCAAAAGTTAATATTTAAGATAATTACATTAAACAAAATCTTAATAATAAGGAAAAATCTGAGAATTGTTAGTAGAGCGGCCTACAAACTCTACAAGAACGTTGAAGCTGGCTTCTGCTGATAAAAATGAAAACTATCTTCAGTTAATATTCTTTTTAATTGAATCTCTGACACCGGCGCTTCTTCATCTGACAGACTGGTCATTTTTGGGTAAAAATATTGCTTCATATCCATCCATTGCAACAAAGCAGATATGAATTAAGGAGCTGGTTATGTCTTACACTGAACTTTCAAATTGTACGCACCAGAGACTGGTGAGATTGTACATGTCAAAGGGTTGAGAAAATACTTTGACAGCAATATATTAAGTCGTAGTTAATTGCCAAGCAGAAGCTATGCCACACTCAGTAGATCCACCCACGGTATTAATAAAAAAAATTTAATAATTAAAAAATTGCATAAATGTCACATCACAGTAACACATTTAACTAAACACCTTAAAAAACACTACATGTTTGCGAGAGCTTCATGTGAGAGCTGCCTGGTCTTTGTGTACTGAAGGAAATGCAGATTAGCATTTTTTGCTGTACATTTAAATGCCAATGTTTAATTTATAAATGTATACAAATGCGGAAATGTGATGTGTTTGTGTACTTAATCCATTGAAATTACAGCTCAGAAACAGAGACATTTGGTTGTATTTATTGCCCTCAGGGATGCTGTTTATCAGTTCAAGTGTTATTTTCAACCAATTTGACATTTGAGCAAGGATGGAGGCCATTATATTTACAGCTACCTAATGTTTAGGTGTCTCATAAATGTGCTAAATATCTCACCTGTAACAAATTTGAACAAATTATGACTGATTTTCTTTTCTGTTTTCTTCCTAGGACCTCCTGTAAGTACCATGGCAACAAGCTGAATTCAGTGTGTATGACTAATTCAACATTATACAGGTAGAGTGTCTTACGTACCACTCAGACTGAAAAAAACAGCTAATCTGTTTGAATGGAGTAACATCATAAAGGTTTTTAATTGTTTTTGATTTCTCTTACTAATGTTAAGATCAAATGTTTCTGGGCTTGCAGTAGTATGGTTAATCTTTCTTACATGAAGCTAAATTCTGTGTATTTTTTTTTCGTCTCACATGCATTAGAAGGCAAGGGAGCTGTGGTGCATAACACATTACATGTTTGTCCTTAAGTTTTTATTTTTATTTTTTATTTTGTTTGTATTTCTACTGTGTTCTGTTATATCTACTTTGCACTTGCAGGACCAACATAGGGTTATTTTGAAAACACGTCGGCATACTTGAGATGCAGATAGGAGTTATCTCCCCTTAGTGTTTGATTGCCAGTCGTGCAGCTAATTGGTTTGCCCCTCACCATCATTGTACATCACATTATTACTTTTAGTTATAAATATTACACACAAAGTACAACTGTTTCCAGAATTTGAGCCAAATAATACTTTTATCTTTTATCGTTAGATTAACCTAAAACTACACTTAAATTTGTCCTGATGTTTGGCATGAGTCATATATTGCATTTTATTGATAGTTTGAATTTTACTTATGCATTGCATAGTTATTTAAATTAACGATATGTAGTTTATGTGACTTTCATGTTTTAATAATGTGATTGCTTTTAATGGTGAGGATGTTGATGATAATGATGCTGGTATAATTATGGCATTTGAAAACAAAGCATTCTTTGACTGATTGGAAGTTGGAAAATAAAGCATTCTATGACTGATTGGAAGTTGGAAAAAGTTATATATTTTATTAAAAGCTGATAGAAAAATAGCACATTCATATTCATGAAGTCTGTCTGTGATGAGGGGGGCATTGTCTAACGAAGTCTGTGACAGACATCGTTCAACTAAATTTTGATCACTGCCTAAGTAAGTTCAAAATGACATTCACCTGCATCTGCTTGCAGTGATTAGAAAAATGCTGCAGAGTGCAGAGAAAAGGATTGACAACTTTGACTGGATTGACGAGAGACTTTACGCCCTATTATTCGCCCTACGCAATAAGGTGCAAGGCGTGCATGGTACAATTTGTTGCTAATTTCAGACCAGCGCAACTGTCATTTTTACTATTTGGCCCACGTTGTTTAAATAGTAAATCCATTTGCACCACTTTGTTCACTAAAGGGCGTGCTGGTCTGAAAAGGAGTTGTGTTAAGGCGCATTTTTGGCAATTTTTTATTTTAAGACAAATGAAATAGACCACGTCGTTGACAACCTAAAAGCTGGTGTAAAGTGCAGTGGAGAGCTTTTAGCTTAATACACACAGGATGTACAGCAATATTACAAAATGATAATTTTCTAAAAGAATATAAAAAACGTGACACACACACACACACACACACACACACACACACACACACACACACACACACACACACACACACACACACACACACACACACACAGGCTGGATTTTGAATCAGATTTACTGAGTTAGTAAGGATAAAAAAGAATACCCAGTATTCAAAAAAAAATGTTTTTATTTAACAATTTGGTTTTGACCATAAAATGTACTATTTGACTAAATGTGTGATCTAATGTCAGTGTGTCAATCATTTAGAAAAAAAAAGACTTTAAATGCTTATTTTGGTTTTGGTTTTATTTGATATAGTCTTCATAACACTTTTCCCAAGTTAATTTCAAATTTGAATATCTTATTTCAAGTATAATTAACTTGTCAATATCTTGTAAAATTTACTGAATGTTTAGGTAAGGTAAGGCAAGGCAAGGCGAGTTTATTTAAATAGCACATTTCATACACAATGATAAATCAAAGTGCTTTACGAAAACAAGAATAAAAGAAACAAGAATAAAAAACAATGAATAACTAAAAATGATTAAAAACAGATAAAAACAGATTCAAATGTTAAAACATGTATTAAACGAATTAAAAAGAAAAGAAAGACATAATAGTGTGATCTGTTGAATGCAGCACTGTGCTCATTCAGTAAAGGCATAGCTAAAGAGATGTGTTTTTAGTCTTGATTTAAATGTGACTAATGTTGGAACACATCACATCATTTCTGGAAGCTGATTCCAGCAGCAGGGGTGAAGGCAGATTCACCCTGCTTTGAATGAGCTCTTGGAATTTGCAATTTACTTGATACTACTGATGTGAGGGATCTGTTAGGATCGTATTCAAAGAGCATATCTATAATGTTTTGAGGTCGTAGGCCATTTAGTGATTTATAGACTAGTAATAATACTTTATAATCTCGCCAGTTAGAAAGACCCGAGGACAGGTGTGATGTGCTCTGATTTTCTGGTTCTGGTCAGAATCCTGGCAGCAGCATTCTGGATGAGCTGCAACTGCCAGATTGTCTTTTTGGAAAGTTTAGTTAGTAGTCCATTACAATAAATCACCCTGCTGGTGATAAAAGCATGAACAAGTTTCTTTATGTCCTCACGGGATACATGGCATCTAATTCTTGCAATGTTTTGAGATTATAGTATGCTGATTTACTCGCTGCTTTTTGACATGACTGTAAAATTCAGATCTAACTCCAGAATCATACCAAGGTTCTGGATCTTATTTGTTGTTGTTTGACCCCTAGAACCAAGGTACACATCCACCTTGAAAACCTAATTTCTGTTCCCAAATACAATGACAGTTTTCTCTTTGTTAGACTGAGGTTGTGAGTCTCTCTACTGTTGCAAAGAGGGTGCGAGTGTTGTTTAAGTTGCTGTTGATAAGTTTTGAAAAGAAAGTCTGCCTAGCAATGTTTATTTACACATTAAAAGCCTGAAGACTGTCTTTGTGTATTTTATAATGGACTACAAGTTTTGTCTTCATCCATATGCACAGATTTTCGGCACTGTTTTTTCATTATCTCTACTGCTGTTGAATTTCTCCAAGGTGCTTGTTGTCTCCCAGTCCTATTCCTGATTTTAACAGGAGCAATGTATTCCATGACATTCTTAACCTTAGAGCTTATAAACATCAAATAGAAAATCACCAGAGCCTGCCGATATGCTTGGGGTGCTTGAGATATGACCTTCATAAACCGCTTAATAATGTTCCCATTTATGCATCTCTTTCTGACAGAGACAGTTCTGTTTTCAATGGCAGGAGTAATCAAAATATCAAAGAAAATACAGAAACAATCATGACTGCAACATCCTTAACAACAGTCGATGAAATGTGTAAACCCTTATGTAACAGAAATTAGCTCATTTTATGGATATTAATAATCAACAATAACGGTTTATTCTTAATTATTAATATTCCGGCGTAAGCTTCAGTCAATTTGATCAAACACACATATGATTGTGTATAATCCTGCCCGCTCGACCGAGCTGACTCTCATATTATGAATATTAATTATCAACAATAACAAATTATTATTAATCCTTAATATTCTGGATCAATTTATTGTTAATTTGACCAAACAAACACAAGCAGAGCTGCCGCTCTTCCGAGTGGCCACGGCAATTATCTATTCATTTAGAAAAAGGGAATTTAATTGCTACTTCTTGTGAAGTAGATTAATCATTCATAAGTTTTAATCAACTTATAATAGTTAGGCAGGGGAATCTGTATTTCAGTGACATTTTCTCGTGAGGCAAACAATACAATTCATTTGATTATAAAGGAATTTATTGACTAGTCAGACTGATAACGAACAAAACGCACAAACATACATTAAACATAGAACAAAGGTAAAACCACGTGGACATATCGGGTCTATACGGGACTATAAAACGCACAAACAGAGAGAGATAGCGAAGTGTGGAAATATAGATTTCAGATAAAAGAGTGACAAAACTTTCAGTTCCACACGCACCATTAAGGATCACCAAGATTATAAAAAACACCTTTTTGATAAAAGGGGCACAGCTTATTCGCATAACTAAAAATACCTGGACTTTCATGTCTGGAGGTCTCTCTCTTTATGCGGGTCTCTTCCTGATGAAACTCTTTTAATGTCCTTCTTGATGGGTTGAGTTTGTAATACAGTTTGGACGAACACGATCGCAAACTTTAAACTGAGTTTACTTTGCCGGAAAATAAGAAAGCGTGGCGGGAAAAGTCCATGCGGCTTAGAAAGCCACGTGGCTCAAGGGTGTGATGATCTGAGTGGGGATCGAACCCGGGTCTGCGGTGTGGTTAGCAGTAGATCTTACTAGATGAGCTAAGTCAGCAGCTGGTGGCCCAAGAGCAGAGGAGGATAATATAAAGGATATGATATAAAGGAGGATAATATAAAAAAATAATATAGTCTTTACTGAGGTAAATTTGACAAAAAGGAGAGATAATATCTCTCTACAGCAGGGTTGAAAAGTACAACAAAAATAGGAAAGCCGAGCTTCCTGAAAATACATACAAAATAAAATAGACACGAGGGTCTCAAAACAATCAAACAGCAAAATAGCAAACAAGTCTTGAGAACAAGCAAAAAGTCTTGAGAACAACTTAACTGGAAACTGGAAACTGGACGAGGCAGCAAGAGGTTTAGTTCAGGACTGAACATAGAGCAGCATACAAAGCAGTCTTATATAGAGCAAAGAACAGGTGGTGGTGGTTACGCTGATTACAGGAGAGTTTAGAGGAACAAGAGTCATTACTGCCATCTAATGTTGAGGAGTATAGGGCAACATGTGCACTCCCTGGTGGGTTGGAGGATGCGATAAAGTGCTGAGATATTACAGTAGCCCCTCCTCTAAGAACGTCTCCTGACGTTCCCTTTGTGCTCTCTTTGTGCCTGGTGGAATTCCTTGATGAGGGAAGGGTCCAAAATGTCTTTAGCTGAGGCCCAGGTGCGCTCCTCCGGACCAAACCCATCCCAGTCGACCAAGTACTGTGTCCTCCCTCGTACCTGGCGACACTTAAGTAGTCTGCGGACCGTGAAAGCAGGGTGGCCATCA